AGAGAGAGAGAGAGAGATTCTGTATTTATAACTTTAATTTTGTAATATATTTAAGTAAATTGTACTTTTTTAATTAAATATTGTATTACAATTATTTTAATTACAAATTCCAATACATGGTATCAAAAATTCTATAATGATTTCCAAACATATAACGGTAATAATAATAATAAATTTATATGGGCATTTAATTTCAGTTAAATTATCATAACAAAAAATATTTATAAAAATTATTACTCTATATAGAGACACTATATTATAGAGTATCTTATATTAGACCTTGATGAAAACAACATAATACTGTATTAGGATGTTATGACTATAATAAGTGACAAATTACACCTACTTTATGATACAATCTAATACATTATTTACACAACACTTTTATATTACACTATAAACGATGTTATAATGTAGTAAATCAGTGATTATTTACTGCATTTTTTGCATTCACTCAGTATTTCACTTCAAAACTGAAACATTGAATGAATATTACACTTCAAATGCAATTTCGCTCACTTTTACATAGATCTAACTGTAATAATATTGCTAATTATTTTAACACATCGTTGTTTTCCCACAACAAAACACTTAATTTATATATTTATATAATTAGTGTCTGAAATGTCACAATCAATACAAATGTCGCAACCAATACATAATCAGCCGCAAAGGTTTGTCAAATCAATCATGATTAAAAACAATATTAATCTAGTTATTTCTGCATTTAAAGCTACGGCCAGCCTCCGGGTGCCTACGGACAGCCAGTGCCTGTTCAAAGTATTTATCTTAATTAATTAAGCACAGCACAGCTTGTTTTATTTATTTATGTTGTTATCAAGCTAAATTATTGACACACTTAATGGGCTTAATGTAATTTCTAGGCGAATGGATTGCGGCGCCAATGGCTCCGCCACTCAACTGTCCGCCCGGTTTAGAGTACTTAACAACAGTCGACCAGTTATTAGTCCACCAAAAGGTAGAGCTATGGGAAGGTAACCAAAAAACTAAACAGTTTATTATTTAACTCAATTCTAATTAAAACGTTTACTTTAATGCAATTATAAAAACATATTGCATAACACACAGCGTTCACCGGATTTGAGACAAACAACAAGTATGCCATCAAAAACAGTTTGGGACAGAAAGTGTATTACGCTATCGAGGGTATGGCCATAGGGTGTGACCACAAGTCACTACAACTTTTGTATTTATGCTTATATCTCAGACACGGACTGTTGCACACGCTATTGTTGCGGAGCTCTGCGCCCGTTTGACATACAGATACTGGACAACAGTCAACGGGAAGTCATACACCTGTACCGACCCCTCAAGTGTGCCAATTGTTGCTGCTTTTGTTGCCTTCAGGTATGTGTCGCCCACACATACAAACACACCCATAGATTACACACACTTTATTCACTGATATTATATGCATTACTTAAAACACGTACAAAATATACTTAATTTAATTATGTTTAATATAGTTATTGATTGTTATATTAATTTTGAAATTACATTTTATTACACTATGCTATGAAGCGTCTGGAAGTGGCGGCACCGCCGGGCAATGTGTTGGGCCATATCGTCCAGGAGTGGAGTCTATGGGTACCTAAGTTTCGGGTCGAAGACGCGTCCGGCGAGACTGTCCTCCGTATTGAGGTAAACAATACCTAATATACACATTAATATACCCCATAAAAACAACCATGCTAAAATTACAACACACCCCACACACCCACCACCCCATAGGGCCCGTGTTGTACAGTGAGCTGTTGCGCGGACGTCGAGTTCCGGGTGCTGTCGCCCGATGGCGGCCAACCCGTGGGCACTATAACCAAACAGTGGACGGGTTTGGCCCGAGAGATGTTCACCGACGCCGACCACTTCGGCATCACTTTCCCCCTCGACTTAGACGTCAACGTAAAGGCACTCCTATTGGGCGCCTGTTTTCCCATTGTATGTATCGTTTTGTCATATCGTTTACGTTTTACTATTGATTTAGATATTAGTTTTTGATTGATTTGTTTGTTTCATTGTTTTTGACAGGACTTTATGTATTTCGAGAAAACCGATAACTAAATCCCTTAGTTAATCTACAATTTTTTTTATAATGTTTAATATTACGTCTATAATAACGTGTTAATTATGTTTTCAATTATAATTATTTATATAAATAGCGAAACCAATGAATGTTTTTCACAAAATGTATCAAAAACATTTTCTTTCAAGCGTTTTTATGTAATTAAGATTTCAATTTTCATTTGATTAAAAATCTGATATTTGTATAAAACAATAAAAAATATTGAATTTATTGTCTTATATTGTAAATTTATTATACCATGACCACTTTGTTGATAACATTTTATTAATACAGTATGTTATCAATGATAACAAAGCAATACATTATTACTGTTAAACAAAAAAATGAGAAACAAGTACTGTATTTATTAAATCAAAATTAGTTGAAAATATAAAACCACAAAATATATTAGTTATAAAAACCAGTGTTTGTGAAGAAATTATACAAACTTTTAATCACACAATCAGTGAATCATTTGATAAATTAAAAATTATACAAAATTATTCGTCAAAATAATGAAATTTTATTCAATCAAATTGTTTAATTAAATTTTGTGTCAATCCGTTAATGAATGAAAAGTTTTTTAACATTAGTTAAAAATCAAAGCGAGTGAACATAAAATTAATTGTAATTATAATATATTTAGTGTTTAGTGAATGAATTCATACATTAAGTCATGGGATGAGAGAAACGGGTATTCAGTGTTTAGATAATGAAAATTATTTTTTTCAATTTTAAAAAAGGGTTTGAAATAAAATATTAAAATTCTTTCAATTGAATGAAACAAATTTTGGGACAATTAGTGATGAGATTATTGACACACTCTTGTGTACAGAAATATGTCTTTCCTACGAGAGTAATGCCACGGATTTGTCTCAATCCAGACAATGATATCAACGACTTGTCGCTCATATTCACGTACTTTACGTACAAATACTGAAGAGTCGGTAAATTGTGGTCAATATTAGCGAAGAATGTGTCCGTAAAATATGGGCTGTCGTTGTGATCATAACTGCAATACAAACTTAAATGAGTTAATCGTTTCAAAGGCGCCAATGAATGACTGTTCAGCGGCTTTACAAACATAAGGTTTGAATTAACTTTAAGTCGTTTTAATCGTTTAAAGCGTTGGCTAATCGTATGAATGACTTCTGGTGTCAATGTTTCGAAACTAATGTTAAGACTCTTCAGACGCCGACAATTGATATCAATGTTAGCCAATAAAGTGATTAACAGTTCCGATGAAAGCAATGGGAAATTGAATTCAATGCTAACCAATGTCTGCATTGGCGCCAAACAATCGGTAACTCTGTTGACCCAAGACTTCCTGTTGACCCAAGACTTCCTGTTGACCGACTGATAATATTCATTCTCAACTGATATTGTCTTCATTTGATGGCCGTATTGGTCGGCAAACACATCCAACGCTTCCATGTCTTCATCGTCCCAAACAGAAATGTTAGCCAATAAAGTGATTAACAGTTCCGATGAAAGCAATGGGAAATTGAATTCAATGCTAACCAATGTCTGCATTGGCGCCAAACAATCGGTAACTCTGTTGACCCAAGACTTCCTGTTGACCGACTGATAATATTCATTCTCAACTGATATTGTCTTCATTTGATGGCCGTATTGGTCGGCAAACACATCCAACGCTTCCATGTCTTCATCGTCCCAAACAGACTGTTGACCCAAGACTTCCTGTTGACCGACTGATAATATTCATTCTCAACTGATATTGTCTTCATTTGATGGCCGTATTGGTCGGCAAACACATCCAACGCTTCCATGTCTTCATCGTCCCAAACAGATATATGAATACTATTGAGTCGTTTAAACGGCACAAGCATTTCGGTCACCGATTGTATGGTAAAGGTTCGTCTCCATTGGCAATTGACTCCAATTGATTGCAAATTGACACACATTTCCAGCCATTTGTCGATTGACTTCTTGTCCACACTTTCATTGAATGACAAAACTTTAATTGTTTTCAATTGTGGACCAAATTTAGTGAAAAAGTTATCACAATAATGCTTTTAAATTCGGGTCTTTTTAATTTCGTGAGTACCCCCTCTTTCTGCCCCCCATTGACTGAACCCATACATTACGTACAGTATATCACAATCAAAGCACATGTAATTTGAAAGCATTGAAAGCATTGATATATGGTGACATTATTTATGTACACTCCTAAAAATCATNTGAAAGCATTGATATATGGTGACATTATTTATGTACACTCCTAAAAATCATTCGTACACACCTACAAAATCATCCAATAATAGAGGGACACGAAATTAAAAAGACCCGAATTTAAAAGCATGTCTGTCAATTGTTTCGATATTAATGTCCGAAAAGTCCAAAGAAATGCTCGTTAAATGAGAACAATGTTTGATAATTAAATCAATGGCTGTGTCTTCGAGACGATAATATCGCAAATGAATGGATGAAATAT